GAACATGACCAGACGCCGTCAAATTTTGTCTACATTGATGTCGAACATGACCAGACGCCGTCAAATTTTGTCTACATTGATGTCGAACATGGCCAGACGCCGTCAAATTTTGTCTACATTGACGTTGAACATGACCAGACGCCGTCAAATTTTGTCTACATTGATGTCGAACATGACCAGACGCCGTCAAATTTTGTCTACATTGATGTCGAACATAACCGGAGCCATCAAACATATGTCTTCATATGTCTTTTAGATCCATGTAAACTTATTTTTATTCTGGAGATAAACAGACCATGACGGGACGGCATCTCTTCATCCTAGCGTGCTTCTAGCCAAACATTTCACCCTATGCCTCTTAGATCAATGCAAACTTGAGTAAGTCGATCAAGACTATTTATTTGAGTAAAGTTGGTAGCCTTTAGTCTAGGCCATATCATGCCCCTAGGTATCTTGGTTACTCTGAAGATGAAAATACGAACAACAGACGTTGTGCCATGTCATTTCTGCAAGTAAACTGAAAGTGATCACCTGAAGCTATTTACACAAAACAAAATACATGATTCTTTACAGATAATTGCTATATATTCTGTTTGATGATACAAATATTATATATATATATATATTAAATTTCAAAATAACAGCAAATCTGCTGTAATTACAATATCAAACTTAATTGCTGTTATAATTTCAACACTGCATTTTCCCTGGCATATATTGTGTATCATTTTCCCTGGTATATACTGTGTATCATTTTCCCTGGCATATATGCCAGGGAAAATTGATACACAGTATATGCAAGGGAAAATGATACACAGTATATGCCAGGGAAAATGATGCACAGTATATGCCAGGGAAAATGATACACTGTATATGCCAGGAAAAATGATGCACAATATATGCCAGGGAAAATGATACACAATATATACCAGGGAAAAGGATACACAGTATATGCCAGGGAAAATGATACACAGTATATGCCAGGAAAAATGATACACAATATATTGTGTATCATTTTTCCTGGCATATACTGTGTATCATTTTCCCTGGCATATATTGTGTATCATTTTTCCTGGCATATACAGTGTATCATTTTCCCTGGCATATACTGTGTATCATTTTCCCTGGCATATATTGTGTATCATTTTCCCTGGCATATACTGTGTATCATTTTCCCTGGCATATACTGTGTATCATTTTCCCTGGCATATACTGTGTATCATTTTCCCTGGCATATACTGTGTATCATTTTCCCTGGCATATACTGTGTATCATTTTCCCTGGCATATACTGTGTATCATTTTCCCTGGCATATACTGTGTATCATTTTCCCTGGCATATACTGTGTATCATTTTCCCTGGCATATACTGTGTATCATTTTCCCTGGCATATACTGTGTATCATTTTCCCTGGCATATACTGTGTATCATTTTCCCTGGCATATACTGTGTATCATTTTCCCTGGCATATACTGTGTATCATTTTCCCTGGCATATACTGTGTATCATTTTCCCTGGCATATACTGTGTATCATTTTCCCTGGCATATACTGTGTATCATTTTCCCTGGCATATACTGTGTATCATTTTCCCTGGCATATACTGTGTATCATTTTCCCTGGCATATACTGTGTATCATTTTCCCTGGCATATACTGTGTATCATTTTCCCTGGCATATACTGTGTATCATTTTCCCTGGCATATACTGTGTATCATTTTCCCTGGCATATACTGTGTATCATTTTCCCTGGCATATACTGTGTATCATTTTCCCTGGCATATACTGTGTATCATTTTCCCTGGCATATACTGTGTATCATTTTCCCTGGCATATACTGTGTATCATTTTCCCTGGCATATACTGTGTATCATTTTCCCTGGCATATACTGTGTATCATTTTCCCTGGCATATACTGTGTATCATTTTCCCTGACATATATTGTGTATCATTTTCCCTGGCATATACTGTGTATCATTTTCCCTGACATATATTGTGTATCGTTTTCCCTGGCATATACTGTGTATTATTTTCCCTTGCATATACTGTGTATCATTTTCCCTGGCATATACTGTGTATCATTTTCCCTGGCATATATTGTGTATCATTTTCCCTGGCATATACTGTGTATCATTTAACTTTCACAAAGGCGTCATTTCTCCTCCTTATTATAAATTTCGGGATTCTGATGAAGGATTAATGTTACATCTTTTGCCTTTGTTATGTGAAATTTTAAACCTCGGGGCTCAGAGCCATAGAAATGTTACCACACAATAACAGTGCTAAAACAGTATCACCCGAATAGTGTTTTACTGGTATTTTTTTCCATTTGGTAACAATACCAATGAACACCATTAGAAATAAGATCACTTTGTAACTTGTGTGGCTCGTGAAACGTTAAGACGTTTAAGCACTTTGATGGTTTCCTTATAAAAAAATCAAATGTGCAAGGACACAAAAATATGTTCTTTTATTTATAAGATAAAACTTCCATAATGGGCCCTACGTCTTAAAGACAACAACAGCCAGATGGAGTAATCAAATAGAAATGAACAGTGTACCCGCTGATCAAAGGTTGGGGACAGATACAGTGAGTCATCTGGTTATGCTGTATAGGTCCAATTCTGAATGGGAGATAAGGGGACCAATAGACTGCATGATGATTTTTTAAGACTACACCCCAGTCCTATTAATGCATTCACCTCTATATATTTAAAATGGACTTGCCCAGTCTTTGATTTGGTAAGGTTCAAAAAGTGACTTGATGTTCCGAATTAATTAACACCTTAATGCACACGAGAGCTTTTAGCATTGTCAAAAGAATGTGTTGATTGATTGTCATCTTGTATATATCTTTGTGTACAGGACTGGACTTGTCATTTGTCTGAATAAAAGTGAAGTTGTAGAATCATGACATGAGCATTTTCCTGGTTATTCTATCTTATCCTGCAATAATTAAAGAAATACTGCAATGAATCGCAATATATATCGTATTCCAAGAAATTCATTATATTTAAAATCAACATAAAAAGCCAATGAAAATTAAGTACCAGTTCAGCAAGTTCCGTTGAATAATTCCAAAGCATTTTACATAATTTTGAAACTAATCATTCTAAGCAAGCTGAATTTGGAAACAAAATACCTAAATATTATCATCAACTTCTGTAAAATTATTTCGTAACTGTGCTTTCTGCTGAAACTCCCAAAAGTAAGAAGAAAAATCATTGCAAAACAATATTGCAGTACATACTTTACTAGACAGATATTGCAATCTTATTGTCTACCCCTACTTACACAACGAGAAATATTATCACTATCTTAACATTGTTATCAACTAAAACTTACCCTGCTCCCACATAAAACCAAATCAGAAAAGGGGGAATAAATCTTATAAAAGCAGTTGAACTAAAAAGTTAATGCCAATCAAGCAATAACCTAAGATACCAATCCTCTAATCAAGTACCAGAAATATCTACCAAAAGGTTGAGTAGCAGTTCTTTTGTCAGAAAAGGGTCCAAGTCCTGCAGAAAAATTAAAAACAATATATATTGCCAGCCAACAACTACCTAAGGTATTGATTATGTGTACCAGGTTTTTACAGAATTTGGTTGATAAGATAAACAGTTGTTCTCCATTATAAACATCCACCCACAGACAAACAGACAGACAGTCGAAAGAGAGACAAACAGACAGACAGTCGATAGAGAGACAGACAGACAGACAGTCGATAGAGAGACAGACAGACAGACAGTCCATAGAGAGACAGACAGACAGACAGTCCATAGAGAGACAGACAGACAGACAGTCGAAAGAGAGAGAGAGAGAAAGACAGACAGACAGTCGATAGAGACAGACAGACAGTTGATAGAGAGACAGACAGACAGACAGACAGACACACAGTTGATAGAGAGACAGACAGACAGACAGACACACAGTTGATAGAGAGACAGACAGACAGACAGACAGTTGATAGAGAGACAGACAGACAGACAGACACACAGTTGATAGAGAGACAGACAGACAGACAGACACACAGTTGATAGAGAGACAGACAGACAGACACCCGGATTCTATTTACAGTTTTATGTAAGCATTTTCTCCCAGTGCTCACATCTGTAAAAAAAAGAGCGCATAGCCCTTTTGTAATACACAAGAAATTACAAAAGTGAATACCCTTTTCTACCTTTTCAGAAGTGAATTACTGACCAAAATCAGAGTGAACAGTTCTTTAAATAAACTTTTGTCTCATAGATAAAAAGAATGTTCCCATAAATTTGCAAAGAGTATCACATTTACTTAGAGTCTAGTAAGGAACTTCCCGAGGCATTTTCTCTCCCTGTAAAGCAGCAACAATGTTCTGACCGGTCAGCTCTGACATAGCTGCCCGGGACTTCTCTGTAGCACTGCCTATGTGTGGCAGGACAATACAGTTGTCCAGCCTCATAAGTGGGCTGTTCAGTGGTAGAGGCTCGGGGACTGTGACGTCCAGTCCAGCGGCCAGTATCTGATTAGTGCTCAGAGCCACGTACAAATCCTCCTGGTTTACCAATCCACCTCGGCTAGTGTTAATCAAGATGGCTGTCTTCTTCATCTTACTGTACGCGTCTTTATTAAACAAACCTTTGTTTTCATCTGTCAAAGCACAACACCCCAATATGAAGTCTGACTGTCTACATAAAGTGTCAAAGTCAGCACGTTCTGCTCCCACTTCAGAAGCGTACGTCTTGGCTTCGGAATCTGTGTACAAGAATTTTCCAACTCCAAATGGCCTAAGTCTCTCAGCAACAGCAAAGCCTATCCTTCCGAGTCCCACTATACCCACAGTAGCACCGTCCAGCCCTTGTCCACACATCCAGACCGGGTTCCATGTCCCCCATCTCCCCTCACGCACTGCTTTTATTCCTACAAGATTATAACATGTTCACTTATTATTAAAATCCATATGTATTTGAATAAATCACAGGCACTTGTCATTATAGGAGTCAGAAAAGCTAAAATGAAAACAGATTATACACGTATCTAGAGTTGGGCCTCTACTCATCAAACCATTTCCATGCTTAAACTCAAATGATATACTCTTGATTAAATCCTTGTTTAAGTGAAGAAGTAATGAATTACAGTCAACAATTTTATACCTTGACTTATACCCTTCATGGTCATATACTAAACCTTTGGCAAGATTTTACAGGTACGTTGAGCACAAAACATGGAATAAATTCATAAGCCTGAGGCATAGCAATCTGTTTTTCTTCACTTAAGTTTTCTTAGTCATACTATGACAAGTTTCTGTGATTAAATGCGACTTCCTGTGGTTTGTGTAAAAATTACATATCAATTAATTGCCCCAAAGGTGTTTAATGTATTTGAAGAAAAAAGGCCTGTATTTTAAGACCTGCAGATGTATATCAGTGGTATTACTGTCACAAAGTTAGTTCTGTGTCAGGAGACACAGATAGTTAAAATGTAATGTTACAAGGAACTTCATTGGTCAGGCGACACAGATGGTTAAAATGTAATGTTACAAGGAATTCCATTGGTCAAGAAAGAACTGCACCAGTAAAAGCACCTGAAAATATGTGGGATTTTCCCTATTCTAACTTTGATATTATATAACATCCATTTTTTACCCATCACCAGATTTACACTCGTGTCTTGTCACGTGTCCATAGTGGTGTCCCATCCTGGTAGTTCAGACAGTTTATTGTGGTTTTACATCTACAATTGGTTTTATTAACCAATAGATCACAAAAATAGAATAGATGTTATCAGCAGGTTTAAGGGAATCCAAATGCAATATTCTACAGAACAAAAAGCAAATACAGTTAAAACAAAAGGCAAATATCCTTAAGTTAAACATTCTATAGGCTACATACCATGAACTTAACTCTCTTGATGATTTTTTTCGGAAGTCATGACAAGTTTTCAATACATTTGAGTAATGACCCTGGTTATCTTCAAAGTAGGTCAAGGTCACTCATTTATACAAACTTGATAGCTCTTCACCCCAGCATGCTATGGCCAAATTTCATTACTCTAGGCTTCTTGGTTACTCAGCAGAAGTAATTTAAAGAAAAAAACCTGACATCAGACAAACTCCAAACAACGGACACCCACAACGTATGATCACCACAATATTTAAGTTTTCAGGCACTTAATACCAGGTGAGTTAACTCATTCACCCCTGAAATTTCATAATGAACTATTCCAACCTTTGAATTGAAATAGTTCAAAGTGTGTTTTCAGGGGTGAATGAGTTAAAAACAAATTTTTTATTACCCTAATGGTTCTACACCTCGGAGAAAACCACGGCCACATAATCTGTACTGAAGTCAGGGGTCTTACCTTCATACAGCCTCCGGGAGGTAGCCAACAGGAGGGAAATGGTCAACTCGGCTGTAGCATTGGTCAGTACGTCCGGAGTGAAACCAACTCTGATGTTCCTACTCCGACACTCGGCCACGTCCACGTGGTCATATCCCACTGACATGGTGGACACGACCTTGAGCTGCGGACCTGGTCACATTAACAAAATAATGACAAGTTAAACTTTGAATCAGCTAGAAAATTTAGCCACCGTCACATTCCAGAGACTTCTCTGCAAACCATATTCACTTTAATTAATGACAAGGTGCTGGAAAAAGTGGATGAAAAAAGAAGGTGCTCATAAGGTGACATAAACGTTTGGGTGCATTCTGTTACAAGTTTGTTCCTATATTTTATGCAATACTGCAGTGTTTTTTCTACCTAAACTCTACTACAGCCTGTTCCTAAGTGAATCGGCAAACACACCGACTGGCATTTATCTTATTGAAATCGGGAAGATGTCCTCATATTTTGGTCATTTTGAGAAAATAAAGCACTGTGTAGCTAGGAAAAGCTGGTTTTGGCTGTAAAACTAGGCAAAAATAATAATCACTATACTGGTACAGTTGAAGTCTTTGTTATAATATGTACGTTATTGACATTTTTTCCAGCTAAAGGGAAATTCCTCCTAGAACTAACCTACTGCAATCTAAGATAAAACCATTATTGCATTAGCTAATTCACTCGAAAGCACAACTACAGGTATATCGTTAAGCCTAAATTTGTCTTTCATACACTGTTAAACTTGACTTTCGTATGACCTTGAAATTTATATAAAATAATTCCTATTTTTCATCAGTGAACACATGATTTAAACAACTCAGATCTGGACACACCAAAGATCCATACATAATAAAATGCAGTGTAATAAATATATGTAAAGTGAAAGTAAGACATAACACCAACCCGCCGCGTCTAGAACCTCTTTATCTATACGCTCCGTCAGTAAACAGTAAAGACCCTCAATACCCTGCACCCGCTTCAGCAGCTCGTCCCGGGGGATGGGGTCCTGGGAGTCCCATTGGTCGACCTGGCAATGCCGTGACAACACCTCTACCCCGCCGGGCGGGACGTAACGAGTGACGAACACCTTCGGAGGGGATTTGGTCGTCGACATCTTGCGAAATGCTACGTTACAAATGTAACAAACAGAAGAAAATTGGGACGCGGTGATGACCTTGCATACACCTGTTATCTTCCTAATCCACATGATACGAGGTCGGTTACAACATGAACAAGGGGAACAACCCCAGCTAGCTTAGGTTACTTTTAGGTATAATACCACCAACACCAATAAACATCTTCTCGTTGAATTATTTTGAGTTTTTTTTAGTTAAAATGTTTATGGGAAATCCAAACATTTTGTGCCGAAGACCAAAAGAGACATCCCTATATTAGTGGACTGTTCTTGCCGAAAAATAAATATTGTCAACGAATTTAACAAATTCTATTATAAACCAGAAGAACTAATGTATTCGAGTTGTCTTTCTTTAAACACTGGCGGTGAAACCTAGCTATGACGGCTTTTCCGGACAGGTGAAATTTTTGTGACAAAAACGTTTAGTTCACATAGAGACGTATATGTACTACTGGCTTTATATGTCTCTGGTTCACATACAAATGTACATGTTTTGAAATACAGTTTTCAGTAGCTGCGGGAACCGTCTGCTCCCATAATAGTCACTATGTCAGGGTGTGACCATGAGTGTGAATGCATTTTCTTCTCTTTTCAATAGTGTTTTGTTCGTTATTTCTGTAACTCTTCATTTCTGGAGGAAATAAAGGAAATAATAATAGTTCAGTTCGTTTCCAAAAGCAGATTGTATGTAGACATGTTAATCCCAGCATTCGGTAATTTCAACAGTTTTCTACCAATATAAAATTGCGATGGCTTAAAAGTACACCGAAACCAATGACACGAGGATACGTAAAACAGAGACGTGTACAACCATAGTATGATATAGATACATCTGCGCATAAAACAATAATACGATATACTGAAGTATGAATAAAACCGTAATTCAAACTCAAAGGTTAAAGAAACTAGGTCAAAATAAGTTAAAGAAACTAGGTCAAAATTAGCTAAAGAAACTATGTCAAAATAAGTTGAAGAAACTAGGTCAAAATTAGCTAAAGAAACTAGCCCAAAATAAGTTAAATAAACTAGGTCAAGATAACTATTTTACTATTAGCTTATCTCCCCCTAGTTCAGAACTTAGAATCAAACATCCATTTTTTCTTAATAATTCAATATTATAGAGACGGGGCTAGTCTAAGTTATAACCATTTGTTCATTCTTGTATGGAAGCCCTATGTCCCGTACTAACTTTGGTCTCGTTCAGCACGATAAACAGAGTAATGACCCCTCGTTCTTTATAAACTAAATTTTGTCCGGTTGAATATTTTTTTTGCTACTTCATCCTTGCTAATAAAACTTGCTATACGTATGTATGTCATGAATAGGGTTAATTGACCCGTTACACAGAGTTATGTCCCTTTTTGATTTTTTTCGGGCTTTCTTTTATACTTTGCTATTGCTACACATATTTATCTCAGAAAGGCGGAGTGTCGAATACTGAAAGTGGGTATGGGGCCAATGATATGCAGAGTTATGGCCCTTTGTTTTGTTCTTTTGATATCGCATACAACCACAAAACTTGTTATATTTATTTATCTTGGAAAGATCAGATGTCCTATACAGGAGATGGTGGTGTGCCTCTTAGTCCTTTGTTTTCTTTTAATCTTTTCTTTTAGTAATGTATTTATTCAGTTTGCTTTTCTTTATTTGATCAACATGTCTTTATAGATGGTAAATTGCATGTGACGGGCGTATATATTTAGTAGTTCGTGAAATTTTGTTAACGGTAGATGTCAAAATCATTAGCGTTTGCCAGAATTTCAGCAAATATAGCATGATTTAGCAGTTTCGTGTGTAATGTCGAGATCCCATTGTCGAATGGGTGTAAATATTTCAGCGCGTTCATAGTATGATTGCACTAACTTATGAGCTCACCCGTAGGACCTTATAAGATGAGGATGAATGTGGTGACTGTATACGGTCTTAAGGAGGGACTTTGTGGTAAGTAGCTCGTCACACATTGAAAACGCAATGACGACAGATCACATGACATGTATATGTGTACATAGGCACAAATATAGCCTGTTCGAGGTGGCAATGCCCCTCCTAAACAAAGGATTACGTCAGTGGAACATGATGAAACGCGAAGCCTATCAAATTATGACATTGTAATTGGACTGTTTGGATTTGACCGGCCAATTTACGATCACAATATTGTAGTTCACTGGACTATGAACGTGGAAATTAGAACTGTTGTATGTTATACACTATCTGGACTCTGGCATTTTCAACTGACGTGACCTGGTTTTTGCAACACAAGGGTAAATGTATGTATTACTTGAGTGTATGCATGTTAGCGACAGCATGAGCAGAGGAGTATTGGGGACTACAATATATCTTAGTAGTCTCTTTAGGAAACAGGCCTCTATATATGGCAAGCCGTTTAACATCTATTGGAGAAAGTCAAGTTTTCACACACTCTCTGAGCAAAAACCACAGACTACAGATCATATATAATGTTAAATATGTCTCAAATACAAAATACTTGGAGGCCAAATATTTCACGAGATGTGTATTTACTTTTAAGATAGTGTCTTATAAATGCCAATAGTTAAAATAAAGATTAGCATGTGTAATTATACGTGATATTTTCATAAAGAATAGGATGAAAATTAAATATACAAATGATTCAAAGACAAGCAAGGATTCGTATTAGTATTCTACAACATGATCAAGTATAGAAAATATCTCATTATTGAGACAGTCGTATGAAATTCTCCGAAGATTATAAAGCATATAAAATATCTTACCTAGAGTACACTTCAATATATATTTCATTTGTAAGTGTACACAAATATCGTATTTAATTCATAGACAATAAATTATGACAATTTTTTTATTTGGTATCTCATTACAATTCGGATATGGAATGTCTTATTTGTCTGCCCCCAGTTTCATGAAAGTTCCTTCACTGAAAGATATTTCTCAACTTAATGCAATTCCTTAACTTAAGTTTATCCATGGAAAATCATTATTGAAATAAGAAGAAACATTAAGGAAAGTTCCCTATAGTTGCATGGTTAAACTAAGGCCATATTTATGTCTCTTGTATTAAATGACATACTCCGCCGTATCGTATCTCCAGATTTCGGAGAAAAACGCGGGCTATAGTGTTGGGTGTACCCATACTCCCCTAAACATCGATCTGACTAATGTCGGACTAATTTCGATTGCGAAATCAGTGCGTGCGTATAAATTACGCATAATTAATAAGGTCATCGACTTCTGGTCGGTTAGTTTGTTTCTGTGCAATAATCGCCATAAAAATGATTCGATTTAAAAGAAAATCCGTGGCATACACAGTTTAATTGACGTAAATGTGCTGACTATGGTAGAGTTTGTCAGGCTTCACAATCCTACACCCTTGTTTAGTAGAAAGCTGGAGAGTTTCCTGGTATACACTCTGCTCAGAGTCTACATCCTATTGCACAGTATGTCTACACCGACCCACAGAGACCTGAGAAAACCGCCACCCCCAATGATTATATATACGCTGGCATTTTTACCGAAAGTCGATCTAAACCCATAAAACATGTGAAATTACTCTGAACACCTTACTTTAGGTCCCAATATACTTGTAACAAATTCTCAGGTCCCTGTGCACCAACCCACAATCACGAACATCTGAATTTCACAAAATTGCTTATTTATTTTACATCTTATTTTCTTAATATTATTTAAATGCACAACGTTAACTTGTGATAAATTACAGCACAGCATCGTGCATCCCATAATACTTCCCACACATCAGGATAGACCCTAACATGCATCCCATAATACTCCCCACACATCAGGATAGACCCTTACATGCATCCCATAATTTATTCTCATGTCCCTGTGTATGGTATGGAGAAATATACAGCCGGAAAATTCGAGCGTGAGACGGAAATGGATTGTCTTACTTTGAAGCCAATCCTGTAATCAATCATATTATCCCCACTTAAATACGGTATTCCGAGATAAATGGATGAGGTATATTATATTCTGCCCCGCCAACAGTGTGTCGATATTTTGTATTGGCTCGTAGCTTTCCGACAATATACCATGAGCGTGCATGAGTTATATGCCAACAAGCCATGAATGTGCAACGTTCTTCCTCCAATGTATAGCAATATCAATAAGTGAGTCGTGGGTCGAATGAGGAAACACGCGTGCATGTGCAGATCAATTTGTTTCCACATGACATCCTTGGCGCGGGTTGTCAGTGCAATGAAAACGAGGCATTACGTGACAAATGCCTGCACGCGCAAAAGTCGCATGCGATTTCATTTCCATGCGTCTTAGCTAGCCAAGGTTTACGATTCTATACGATCCTGTCTAGATCGTACCGTATCGAAAGCATTGGCTAGCAAAGATGGTTTTCGTGTGGTGGAACAGGTATCAACGAAAGTCTGTATATTATGGGGGAATATATACCTTGAAATTCGGAAAATGTACTCAGATCTGTGTAATTTTATGTTCAACAATTTTGTAATCCTGGTCATACATTCCTCCATATATTCGTCCGTGGTAGTACGTCACCCGTCTTAAGCAGTTCTTGACATCGTTATTTCTCGAGAAAAGTTGGGCGGGTCTTGCTCAAATTTCATTAATGTAGATTTGTCTTGATCTTGTGTCGTGCGCGATTCATTTTGAAACCGATCGGAAAAACAGGATGGGTGCCAAGCAGCCATCTTCGATTTTGACAGTTCGAGTTTGTAATCACTATTTCTCAAGAAACTGTTGAAGTTTGTAATAGCTATGTTTGTATTTTATTGTATTTTTTCAATCACAGTGGTTTCGTAGTCGTGGTCAGACGATACATTGTAAGTCAGTGGTTTCAATCTTCTTTTTACAGTTGTCCTAAATAATAATAATCATTTATTTTAAAATAGCATGTATGTACATCAGGTTCAACAGGGAGGACTCTGACCCTTACTTACATGGTGTAGACGGTACAAGTAGCGGTACATGTGTACAACACTAAGTGGGGCCGAACCCTAGCCCCTGTAAGTGGGTTTCTCTTCTCCGAATTTTGACCCCGATTGTAGGGATTGACCTCTTGAATCTGATGACTCTGGCCCATTGTATCTGCGTACCATGCACTATCGAGAAGATTCCTTAAATGTCAAGAAAATGTCGACAGAAAAATAATGTGAACTTAATTTTGAAGGCCGTAAGAAAAGTATCTCAGTAACAACAATATGATTAATTATGTATAATTGTGATAAATGCAAAACAGTGAGGTAATTTTCAGGACAATCCGCCCCCTTGTTCAAGACAGAAACATTAACGCTTGCATATCACAACATAAACCAAACTATGAAACAAGAACCGGTTACACTGGCAGATAGCTACAGTGCCGTATTGTGGTGGTGGTGGTGGTGGCGGTGGTTATGCTGGTTTTTGATTTGGGTTATTTACTGTGATTGCTGTAATAACTACTTCCAGAATAAAATAATTGATATTACGTGTGACACAGGCTATCGGGGTGAGGCTTAAAACTGTATTATGTTTTATTCGAGGAAATCATTTTATTCCTGGGAGTGAGCTGTGTCATTCAGTAACGTCTGCGACAGGGCCAGTCACTCAATATTATCTTAGTAGCAGTAAACCATTATCAGTTTCCGTCAACAACTTGGAATTCGATACGTTCATAAACACGAGATCTCGTTCACACATACCGTTCTTCCCCTGCCTGCCCCTCCCCTGTCCTCCTCCCCTACATCAGGGAGTGATCGTCGACCTTTGACTGACCCCACACAGCATGACTCCCCTTTAGCGACTCAGCTTTCACAAAAGCAAGGGTCATACACTAAAATACGGTCTTCGTGTACGTTCAATGTAATATACTAATTAACGAAATATTGTACGTTTCTCTTTTGCTCGCACAAAGATTCTCTGTCGTTAGCGGTGCGTAGCCTATAGCACAGACTTAGATGGCAATCTTATTCCGTGCCTATAGCAACCGTTTTGACATAAAATACTCCAATTAAATACAAACAACGTTTTCATCAGTAACGGTTCTGTGGTGCAAATATATTGATTTCACTTTTAAAAAGCAACTTTTCTAAAACAAATGAAGCATGTCATATAATTTCAAACCAGAAACCAGTATATATACTACATAACTACATTATTCGTCTCTGGTCAAACTAACTATTTACTTCATAGCTACCATTTGAAAGATTTTCCTTTAGTATCTAGTGAAGGCCATCACTATCAAACGGATCCCCATTGTAGCCTATAGACTGTCCCTGTTAATTGGAGCACTGACTTAGATTATCGCTATCAAAGCCGTGGTTGGATTTAGCACTGAGCGCGAGAGATGCAGTTGGTTTAGAGAATGCCTGTGGGCGACAGATCAGACTCTGGTGACGGCCCTGGGGCCTGTAACTGAAAGCATACTTAAGGACTAAGTTAACCTTAAGATTACCTTAATGGTTTATTGTGTAACTGAAAACAAGTTTAAGGTTGGCTTAAGAGAATAACTGTTCATCTGTAAAGTGTAGCGGAACCTCTGTCTCTAGTGGCAAATTAAGATGGGGTGTAATCGAAAGCCTCCTTACTTCGTCAAGGTATTCTTACGTCCAAAATCAGCACTTCCAGGTGTAACTGAAACCATTCTTATTTTAGAAATGTTGTTTCTTTACTAAGGTTGGTCATACCCTCTTAATATATAAATCACACTGGGAAAATGGCTGCTATGCTCCTCCATCTTCGTCAACATAACCAAAACATTCCAAGACGTTTGTTGCGAGATAGAAACAATCCACTGGATTACTTCAGTGATGAAGCCATAATCTCTGTAATAATATGGAAAATGAACTATCAAGACCAACCAACAGAAACCGGGCTCTTCCTGTTTCATTGCAGGTGATGATATGTTTAAGGTATTATGCCAGCGGTAGTTATATGTCGGTCATCGGTGATGCTCATGGAGTCAGCAAAATGGCTGTATCGCGCGCAGTGAAAACAATATCGTCTTCACTTGCACGACAGAGTCAACGACATATAGAGTTTCCCATGGATGCCCAGCGCCAAGGTCAGTTGAAAAGATATTTTTTTTGCAATTAGGGGTTTTCCAAATGTCCTAGGAGCAGTTAATTGGTTATTAATCCCAATATCTACCCCGACGGATGATAAACATTTGTACGTGCCCCGAAAAGGCTTTCATGCCTTGAACATTCAAGGAGTATGTGACCCCACAATTTATTTTTGAATGTTGTTACTAAGTGGCCTGGTGCAACACATGATGGTCATATATGGAACTATTGTGGTCTAAGTGCTGCCTTTGAAGCGGGCACACTTGCACGTGGTGGGCTACTTGGGGACAGTTGTTTTGGACTTAAACCGTGGTTGCTGACCCCTAAACAGAATCCTCAAACACGCGGAGACAGGCGCTACAATGTCTCTCTCATCGTAGTACCCGCTGTGTCATTGAGTGACATTCGGAATATGGAAAATGAGATGTAGGTGTCTTCATAAAGGTCCTGTGTTGGCGCCTAAGAAAGCATGCAATGTCCTCAATTTCAGATAGTACTTCATCTTCCGGAGGGGGTCCCCCACCCGTTTGCTTTCTTTCTCGAGTAAACTTTGCTCGTTTTCCTTTCACAATAGAATTCCAATAATGCCATTTTTAGCTCACCTGGTCCGACGGACCGTGGTGAGCTTATGCCATACCGCAGCGTCCGTCCGTCCGTCAACTTTTCCTTTAAAATGCTACTAGTCCTGAACGGCTAAGTAGATTTTGATTAAATTTGGTCTGGAGCATCCTTAGGCCAAGGAGACTCAATTTTGTATAAACGGTGGGTGTGGCCCCCCTGGGGGGCAGAGGGACGGTGCCAAACAATGGAAATAGAAGTAAAACCTTTAAAATCCTTCTTCTCCAGTAGAGATTAAGGGATTTCATTATAATTTTGTCTGGCGCATCCTTGGGCCAAGGGGACACAGTTTTGTAGAAATGGTGTGTGTGCCCCCCCCCCCCCCCCCTCTGGGGGCAGAGGGGCTGGGCCAAATAAGAGGTATAGAGGAATAGCTTTAATATCCTTTTTTCTTCCTCTATGATGTAGGAACAGTAGCATCCTATGCGGAAGCGAAATCAATTTTGTGTAAATGGTGTGTCTGACCCCCCTGGGGCCTGATGAGAGGTGGGGCCCCATAGAGGTAATTTAGCAAATTCTTGAAAATTCTTCTTTTGTAGGAATAATAGAATTTTGTCCAAATTCGGTCTAAAACATCATTGGGTAAAGGCGACCTGATTTTGTATCAAAGGTGGGTCTGACTCCTCGCAGCAGTATTTCCAATTCTTCAATAGTATAGTTTGGCTTTCTTTTGCGGTTTGCTTTTGGCATACATGTAACTGCCATGATGATAATTCTCACTACAAAACCCCTTAGATTTCTGCCTAGCCGTCGTTTTGTTTTTACAGGTGTCAAACATACAGTTACCATTACATAACAAAAAAGACCTTGTATAACAAACGCAGCGAGGACACTGTGATCAAATAACCAGTAAAATGGAAAGCGGTGAAGTGAATTTTCCGGAAAATATCCCGCTCTTATCGCCATTCGTACGTACGTTTTTAAGAGAGGTTTACGACTAGAAGAGCCACTTTCGAACGGATTTCAGTTACACTCTTACCAGAAACTTTGTGTCACCTTAAACCATTCCGTAAATATATAGTTAAGAGCGATGTTTCAGTTACAGGCCCCAGGGCGGAACGGGTTCTATTACGTTGACAGTTGGGATCCCACATGGACGGGGGTGACTGGTCTATGTAAAACCCAAGTAGCTGTGGCGTTCAAGTCCCTGTGGGCAGGACATGGGACAGACCAGTACATGTTTTAGACAGTGCCCTTCTTTGACTCTGCGACTGATGACTATCGTCATTTGATACCATCACAGACTCAAGCATGGTTTGAAACATCGCCCTAGTTATCGTTGTACCAGTTTAGGCTCTGTAACGTGACAGTAACGTTATTATAGGATGGCGGTGTTCGTCTTATGGAGTAGGTCTAACCTCCCCTCACTTAACCTACCCATTACGTAGCTGACAGTGGCTATATCTTTCTGAGAATCATCTATATGACTGTGTACTGTATCTTTATGGAAAACTTGTGATGGTTTTGAAATTTCCTCGGCACAACTAGTAAAAAGGCTTATGGCTGTTTACTCATTTTTCACGTTTCCCCTTATTTTATTTACTTAAAATGTACAACAGTATGTTTCACGTTTACAAATACGTTAAAATACATATAATTTCTTTGATTTAATATTTCACTATTTAAAAAAGATGCTTTGCAAGGGTATTGCATAATAAAAAAATGAATTCCAGAAAATAAGAGAATATATTTATGAACTTCATGTTTTACTTTAAGAACACAGTTACGCACACATACAAATAATAACACTAGCTCAGAACATCTGCAAATTAACATAATCCTAATGTACCCGATGACCTCGGTCAGCGGCACTCAAAGCCATTAGACTGGAAATATTAAATTCACGCGAGCATGAGCACAGCACGTGTTTATTCTATGCCGGATATAAAACTAGTGAAACAGTAGTTGTATTGAGTGATATTTAACGTTAGGTCCGTGTCAGATTTAATAGTGACATAAGTTATTGTTGTAAGTTATTACTTATTCGATTGAGGTGTTTTTTTTAGATAATATAAACGGAGAATTTGTCTCGTTAACAGTAAACCTTTTATTATATAAAGTTCAATAAACGTCTTATTTAACCATACCAAGTATGATCCTGACTGTGTTTTGTTTATATATATATTTTAGTTTTAGAGAGCATGTGTGTACTAACTATTTATCTTCTTCACTTGTGTTACCGGTGAACACATACATGCTACTAGATATACTGAATATCTAACCTGCTCTGTCATTGGACCGGCTGTCATCACCTGTCGCTGGATCTGAATTCCAAATTGCACAGGTATGCACCGTCTGGCGTGACCTGTCAACGCTCCAGCTGTGCTGGTGTTTACGGTTCGGTAGCCGGCTGTAACAAAGACACAGGGGAGAGTTTTCAATTTGACATTTGAACATTTTACTGATCAGAGACTGATCGATTAAGATGCAATAAAAAATAAAGAGTGGGGTAGCGTTTGTTTGGTGTATTGTATGGTTTAACGTTCAACCAAGGTCATACACATAACGTTCAACCAAGGTCATACACATGGATGACATGGTATATTATACATATTTATCATATAACAGCACATGTTCCCGTGTAACAACCAGGGGCTAAACATTTTACCACCTGGTGTGAATTTTAGGGGTCCGTTATTCATGAATTCTGTGTGCTATACGTCGGTTTGAATAGGAAACGAACCCTATCGAAATGTTATATAAATTATGAAAATGGAAATTAGAATCGGGAAATTCGTTCGAGAACTGAATTGTGTCTTAGACTAATCTAATTTCTAAATTGCTAAATTCATCTGAGAAGATACCGTGATTGGCATCACTGGCAGCCATCACATTATAATACAGATAAAATAGGCAAGGTTTTCGTTTAAACTCCGTTTTTTCTAGACGGTCAATTTAAATCTGTTTGGTGATTTATATTCTAAAATATTTTTTTATGTTGCGCTTCTTTGGATTCAGCTTCGTAAAATAACTACAACATTGCTAAATTCATCTGAGAAGATACCGTGATTGTCATCACTGGCAGCCATTACATTATTATACAGAGAGAAAAAATAGGCAAGGTTTTCGTTTAAACTCCGTTTTTTCTAGATGGTCAATTTTAAATCGATTCAGTGATTTAAATTCTGCAATATTTTATTATTTTTCTTCTGATATATATCGACTTCATAAAATGTATATAATATTAATTGACATTCCGTAATAAAGTTTTAAGAGAAAAGGACGTTTTCACGATAAAGCTCATTACAAGAGCATGTTATTCACTTTACACCTATTTGCTAGTTGTGTAATTTAAAGCTTATAATTGGACACTCGTATCTGACCCAAGTAACCCCCTGCGGGATGCCATCACAGGTGCGTAGGTGACTTAATAATTACCAGTTAGTAGATCTTAGGGAGCCGAACTAAGGGAAGCAGGTGCGGATATGGGTAAAAGCCTTCTAGGGTTTCGGTACTAGTAATCGTAATCTTACTCCTCTGGCTAATAAAAATTAAAGATAAAGATTCACGACACATTGTCATACCCTGCCAAATTCACACCTGAACTCGTCACAGGGTAACAATTATAATGTGTATGAACACTCACCAATAATCTCTGGCTTTATATGTCTCTAATTGACATTACCCCCTAAGCGCCCCTTGGAAGTTGACAAAGTCGCGCGCGCTCTGACACTCTCCCCGTACCCGCCATTCCCGACAGGAAACACACGACCGAGTCTTTGTTTACATTTTCATCGAACGGGCGAAAATGTATGGTAGGTGTGTTTTGTTAAAACCTATGTATAACATGGACAAGCATTGGAGATAAACACGTGTGCTCAATAAGGTTTAGCACCTTACTAAATCAAGCCAAATTTCATTTGTTCACCGGAGCTGTAACCTGAACATCTCTCGCCATCTTATTTTTCAGTGTCCACGTGAAAAAGATTTCAACAGAACGGTTCATGAAAGAGAGTGATGCTACTTCGATCTTGACAACCTGATTAACTAAAGAGGTGATATACAGAGATCAAACATGTGAGTATATTTACTTCTCAAACAAAGGCCTCGATTCTTTAGAAACCTGACTGCACACGGTTGAATCCGTAATTACCGAATCTAGTGACAATGGGTTTTTTTTCGTTTAAGGGATAGGTCTAATCTCAGAGAAGGAAATAGGGGCATTGACCCCAAATTTAAGATAATTAAACGTCTCCTATTTTCTTTGTTCTTTGTTATTCTACAACACAACTAGATGTTAATACCACGGAATTAGATTATCTAAGTCCGTGTTACTAATACTAAATGCCCATTATACTGGTACGTGTAATTTCGTTTTCACCCAAGATGGCCCCTTTAATACTGGAAAATACATCTCTGAATTATGAAGTTAATGTCAACGGGGCTGTATATTTTATTTCCTATTATTTGATATGATAGTGAACGGTTAACATGGTTTTGCGACACCGGGTGGGCCGTCATACGTCGTATAGATCACCACTACCCCTCCCCCCAAAAAATATTATATTTGAATAAAAAGACACCAAAAAAATATAGACTTTTATAAAGAATTAGAAAAGAAGCCTTTTTTTATATACCCCAGGTGTTACAAAGTCAATTTCATCTTGAACAAAACTAATGTATTTTATAATTTTGACATAACAGAACTGAAAGTATATTTTTTTTAAATAATTGCTTATATTGCTGGATTAATGAAAAATATTATCAGGTCATAAAATGCCAGTTCCATAGACACGCATCAATTCTTGTTAAACAAAAATCAGTCTTTGGAAAGATTTTTGTTTAAATAGAGAAGTTGTCATGCATGATTGTCATTCAATTATGTAAAATGTATATCGCCTTGTGACAACATTGTTAGATATTGCATTTTATCACATACCTGTTGAATCTTGTTATAGTAATACAAGCAATTTTCAGACCATGAAATACAACGTCCTGTATTGCACATATTGCTCGGATGTATATCCTCACTCGTACGCTCCGCGCACTCGTGAATATATATTCGTCCGCGCAATAAACTCTTGCTTTGTTATTCGTTAGAAAAACACAAGTGTGTGGTCTTGCATATAAACAGTATAATGGTTAATTGGTTACACTATATTGCAACAGACTTCAGCTGTTGCAAGTATCAGTTTTTGTACAATTTTGTGTTATCTATAACTTTTTATAAGGCAAAATTTTACTTATGGTGTAATATTTAACACTTCCAAGGCAGTTCCTTGTTATGAGACCATAACACAAGCGTTATATATCTCCACGGGACCGATTAACTACCTGATAGCTATACCCCTCTGCACTAGCAAGCAGATAGCAAAATAACTCACTATGTCTATGATTCAATAATATTCACCATTTTATGTAAGACTAATATAAAATGTTAATTGAATTTATAGATTGATTAAATTATGGATAAAGTATCAATATTTTTGTTTTTCATATTTAGTAATATGCGTTAATCATTTTGTCTGCAGTCCTGTTATGTGTTAAAGGACCATAAAACGGAACAGAAAGCTGTTTAATGCTTAATTATACTAACGAAAAATAGCATGTACATCAAAATAAAATATACCAAGTACCTATGGAAATTTCAAGAAAGCAAGTTTGACAACTTCACCAACTTCGTTATTGTGTAAATCTTTACAGCCAAGAAAGCTATATATGCATAGACCGTGAGAAAATGTCCCTAACAAAGTGATCGGAATGAATCTGGCCAGTGTTGTTCAAAATGTTTTTGCTAGACCTTTTGATGCATCAGAACACTGTTCGGGCCTTAAAGACACATTTCCAGCAGTATGATAACACCAGGGGCTGTCCCTGGTCAAGACGTCCATGTGTGATGTCATTACATTACAACAATGACTTCTGGGTTGCATACTTACATTGTGTACATGTACGTTGTACGTAACCGCTTTTAAACTGCAGGTTTGATCAGTATTCCTGTATTAAAGGAATCGGGATCACGGGAATTGGTCTTAGAGCTCTTGAGAAACCACCTTTGTGAACAGTTCATTTGTCGAAAGACATCCAGCTATCCAAACCTTCCTGCAACATCGATATCATTGACTCTGTGTTTGTTGTACCCTCACAATAAAATGGGTGTTCTTTTGACATTTTGGAAGTTTTGAGTTAATTGATTTATGATTGGGCCAAAACAAAAATTACTAGAATGTTCTTAGGCCAATTTTTTTCAAAAGAGATGTGGCAGGGAGGTAAAAAAAAAATTCATTTTACATGGCAAAAATGAGACGAGGGCATATTTTTTTTATTGTGTAGTTTGTAAAACGTTCATTGTGGGCATTACCTTGTCTTTTTATAGTTGTGTAGAGAACCGTCATAGAGCAAGCCTCCGAAAATCCTCCCACAATGTTCCAGGGAAGAATCACAACCCCNNNCATTCCTTATTTGTACCGAAATGAGCGCCATTTGTGAACGAGACTAATGAGTCATAATTGTTTTAACGCTTGCCTGTATATCAATCCTTATCTTTATTCAAACGTCTTCAGGACTGACGAGTAAAAACGACATGCGGACCCAATTTTCCGGATTTTTAAAAAAACTGCAGCTGGCGCATTCACCTTTTTTGATATTGCTTTCACGATACAATCAGCAATGCGATGCCCTAAAATGAAATGCGCACAGGCCTGTGTAAAAAGTAATCAATTTTTTGGCCTTGTTTTATATTATAATTTTTCTCCAATGCAGTTTCTTTCTTTCTGCTGGTACTTGTTAACTTTGTCCATAAGGTGCTTTAAATGACTAACAACATGGCTGATTATGGAACCAAGTTCAGTGTGGTCCAGTGTGACCCTTTTTTTTGCAGTTTTCACTGAAATTTACGATGGCTGACAAGAGCCTGGCAAAAAGATGTGAATTTTCATATCATTGTGTAGCATGGTACACTTTTACAGGGTACACAAAGATTTGAATTTTCATATCTTTGTGTACCATATCAAAGTGTACCGTGGTACAAAAAGATATGAAAGTTCATATCTTTTTGTCAGGCTCTTGTCGGCCATCGTAGAAATTTGATTTAATATTTGTTATCAGTAGCCAAACAGACTGCCAATGATTGAAATACACATACATTGATCAATCTACAATTTATTTTCATTGGTCCTTTTCAACAGTATTGCTGAAATCAATGGGTCCCACATTGTTAAATTATAGTATTTCCATATTTCGTATATAGAGTATTCATCACTACATATATATACAATATACATCATCAGATCAAATAATTCCACCATTAAGAAAACCACAGTGTTGGCTCTACCCTTGCCTTATATAATATACACTTATCTTGCATCACTTACTGACACAATGCCTTATAAAATATACAGTTATTTTGTGTCACTTACTGACACAATGCCTTACAAAATATACAGTTATCTTGTGTCAATTACTGACACAATGCCTTATAAACTATACAGTTATCTTGTGTCACTTGCAGACACAATGCCTTATATAATATACACTTATCTTACATCACTTACTGACACAATGCCTTACAAAATATACAGTTATCTTGTGTCAATTACTGACACAATGCCTTATAAACTATACAGTTATCTTGTGTCACTTGCAGACACAATGCCTTATATAATATACAGTTATCTTGTGTCGGTTACTGACACAATGCCTTATAAACTATACAGTTATCTTGTGTCACTTGCAGACACAATGCCTTATATAATATACACTTATCTGGTGTCACTTACTGACACAATGCCTTACAAAATATACAGTTATCTTGTGTCCCTTCCTGACACAATGCCTTATAAAATACACAGTTATCTTGTGTCACTTACTGACACACTGCCTTATAAAATATACAGTTATGTTGTGTCAGTTACTGACACAATGCCTTATAAACTATACAGTTATCTTGTGTCACTTACAGACACAATGCCATATATAATATACAGTTATCTTGTGTCAATTACTGACACAATGCCTTATAAAATATACAGTGATCTTGTGTCACTTACTGACACAATGCCTTATATAATATACACTTATCTTGTGTCACTTACTGACACAATGCCTTATGTAATATACAGTTATCTTGCGTCACTTACTGACACAATGTATATGATATGTTTCATTGTATTCTGGGTTTGCCAAACTGTATATAATTTATGTAAAGGGAAGTTATAAGACTAGTCGGTGTAAGATTGTATATAATTTATGTAAAGGGAAGTTATGAGACTGTTCAGTGTAAGATTGTATATAATTTATGTAAAGGGAGGTTATGAGACTGGTCAGTGTAAGATTGTATATAATTTATATAAAGGGAAGTTATGAGACTGTTCAGTGTAAGATTGTATATAATTTATGTAAAGGGAAGTTATGAGACTGGTCGGTGTAAGATTGTATATAATTTATGTAAAGGGAGGTTATGAGACTAGTTGGTGTAAGATTGATTTTCTATGTTTTACAGGATCAGTTGAATGTTGGGAGGTTATGAGACTAGTCGGTGTAAGATTGATTTTCTATGTTTTACAGGATCAGTGGATTGTTGGGAGGTTATGAGACTAGTCGGTGTAAGATTGTATTTTCTATGTTTTACAGGATCAGTGGATTGTTGGGAGGTTATGAGACTAGTCGGTGTAAGATTGTATTTTCTATGTTTTACAGGATCAGTGGATTGTTGGGAGGTTATGAGACTAGTCGGTGTAAGATTGTATTTTCTATGTTTTACAGGATCAGTGGATTGTTGGGAGGTTATGAGACTAGTCGGTGTAAGATTGTATTTTCTATGTTTTACAGGATCAGTGGATTGTTGGGAGGTTATGAGACTAGTCGGTGTAAGATTGTATTTTCTATGTTTTACAGGATCAGTGGATTGTTGGGAGGTTATGAGACTAGTCGGTGTAAGATTGTATTTTCTATGTTTTACAGGATCAGTGGATTGTTGGGAGGTTTCGGCAAGTGGTCCAGACTCACAGGAAGTTCCGACGATGATTGGATTGACCGACTCAACCATATATGGACGGTTGTGATGCTGTCCCTTTTCGCGGTTATTGTCAGTTCAGGTCAGTATGTCGGTGACCCGATCCAGTGCTGGTGTCCTGCGGAGTTCACCGGTGCACGTGTGTCATACACAAAATCTGTTTGTTGGATTTCAAACACGTATTACATTCCAAATGAAAATGAAATACCTAGGGATGATACTGTCCGGGAGGAGGCTGAGCTTAGCTACTATCAATGGGTCCCGCTGATCTTCCTCATTCAGGCCCTCATGTTCAAGTTGCCAAATGTTGCTTGGCATATGCTGAACGGGTACTCGGGAATAAGTCTTGACAAAATCACAACCATGGCTGAAGACACTTTGCTTGCATCTCCGGAAAAACGCTACGAAAAGATCATGTATATTGCCAAGTACATGAATCGATGGATTGAAACACACAGAGATTGGCACTACAATTTTTTCGTGCGGATGCGGCAGAAACTCTCAAATATATTATGTTTCTGTGTTGGAAAAAGAGACGGTACCTATCTGACAGGATTTTATTTGTTTGTCAAAGCTCTTTACTGTGTTAATATTGTCGGACAGTTTTTCTTGCTCAACGAATTTTTGTCCATGGACTACAATCTGTTTGGTGTTGAGGTTCTCAGCTTCCTGATGGCGAATGGGGAATGGAAGGCATCACCACGCTTTCCTCGGGTCACACTTTGTGACCTTCAAATCCGTCAGCTCAACAATCTACAACGTTTTACAGTCCAGTGTGTTCTGCCGATAAACTTGTTCAACGAGAAATTATTCATATTCCTGTGGTTCTGGTTACTGTTCGTAGCGGTTCTAACCTTTATCAACTTTTCCAGCTGGGTGTACGATATCATTTTTAAAGAGAACAAAGTTCGCTTTGTTAGAAAATACCTCACAATTCTTGGACAGCTAGAGACAGGGTTTGACAAAAAGGTGTCTCGTAAATTTGCGGAGGAATATTTACGCGGCGATGGTGTGTTTGTGCTGAGGGTTGTGGGTAAAAACTCTTCAGATATGGTGCTAACAGATTTAGTTCAGCATCTCTGGAAAGTGTTTAAGGAAGAACACTGTAAACTGCCAAATAAAGACGATGGACTCGGTTCAGATCCTGAACCAAATGAAAAAGACGTGATGAATGGAGATGTTATACACACCAAAGGCAACAATTACAATGTATGACCTTGAAGAACAAGGTTTGACCTTGAAGAACTTTGACCATATTAAAATTTTAGCTCAGAACATTTAGATGTTAAGTTGTCTGAATATTATATTAAATGTTCTAAGTGACGATTTACATGTTATACTTTTATGTATAATGTGTTGTGTACATATATATGTATATATGATATGTACTATACTTATATGTTTACAAATGTAATCGGTTTATCAGCAATGTAGCATTATATAGACTTCATCAGGGAACCCTAACCCTAACCCTAAACAACAAACATAAAATGAAAGTATTTTAAGTAAGTTTTTCTCAATGTGTTTCCTTTCTTAAGCTGTTGCAAGTACTGGTTCATATGTGTATGTAATACTTATTTTATGGTAGCTATAAATATTTAGAGGTGTACAGGGTTAGACACTAACTTTTTTTGCTTGGTAGATATAATAGTCCAGGACTAGTTAAATATATTATTTACTAGTCCAAGATTTCCTGATGAGGAAAAATAACGATCTACATCAAAAAACATAAAAAGTAATCGACTACCTAGGGGACTTAAAATAATTACTGCTATAAAAATATGTAAAATATGTAAAATAAAAATAAAATTGGAAAATGGAGGGGTCATTTTCAGTTTTGAGGGGTCAATCTCAATGGCCCTGGGGCCTCCAGGGTAGGATTATCCCTGATGTACATAGGTCACATGTCCCTGTGTGTGTACATTTACTGCTAAAGGCCTTAGATCTGCCCCCCCTATTATAGACCTAATTAAAGCTGTTCACAGACTGATGTCAAGATATACAGTTTGAGGCCCAATAAAGGGATTGAAACTTATGACTAAGCTCATCAGCAAGATATATATGTAAAGCATAGGAGAGTACTTGTTGAAAATTTATACATAATACATGTAGTCTGTAGACCATTATGTTGATTTGTTTATAGCATGCATGCTAAAATCTTCTTTATTTAATTAAGTTTGTGTATTTCAATTTTTTCCATAGCCAATGCGATTTCTGTCTGAGTTGAGACTGTTATTATTTATTAACCTTTGTCTTCAATTTAAAAATGTATCTCTTAATTCCATCATGTTGTAACAATGTACACTCACATTTATTTCAGTAGTCATTTTTGTCAATATCTAACCTTCATAGCCTGGGAGGCTAAATCCTCTCAGGATTATAGAGCTGTATACATAGCGGTACTGAGGTCAGATCAGACAGGTTCCAAGGTCGGATCAGACAGGTTCTGAGGTCGGATCAGACAGGTTCCGAGGTCGGATCAGACAGGTTCCGAGGTCGGATCAGACAGGTTCCGAGGTCGGATCAGACAGGTTCGAGGTCGGATCAGACACTGACAGGTTCGAGGTCGGATCAGACAGGTTCCGAGGTCGGATCAGACAGGTTCCTAGGTCGGATCAGACAGGTACCGAGGTCAGATCAGACAGGTGCGAGGTCGAATCAGACAGGTTTGAGGTCGGATCAGACAGGTTCCGAGGTCGGATCAGACAGGTTCTGAGGTCAGATCAGACAGGTTCGAGGTCGGATCAAACAGGTTCCGAGGTCGGATCAGACAAGTTCCAAGGTCGGATCAGACAGGTTTGAGGTCAGATCAGACAGGTTCCGAGGTCGAATCACTCAGGTTCTAGTGTATGCCACTGTACCTAACAGACCTAGATGATCTGTGTCCACTGTTACAGTATACACAGTATTACATAGAAACAGTATTAGTATGCACTCACAGTGTGTTGCATTGCATATAAGTGAAAATATGATTCTTGACTTTAATGTTGCATTTATTTTTACAGTCATAATGACTTATGTTTTATGTGCAAGGCAGTAATTTGTAGAAGTGGAAATTTTTATTTTTTGAAAAAAACATACATGTACATCATATTTGACCTTATTAAACACCCTGTAAAACTTCCTGATAGCAGATTCAAAATTCATTGTTATAGTCTAAAGTTTTAAGGGTCATAAATGTTTTACAGACATTTTCTAGTTTTCAATTAATTTGATATAAAGTTACGGTGAAGGAATATGCTGCTTTGCTTGTACAGTACCAAGAGAAAGAAAAGGGGACACATTATAAGGTTACAGTACCAAGAGAAAGAAAAGGGGACACATTATAGGGTTACAGTACCAAGAGAAAGAAAAGGGGACACATTATAAGGTTGAACACAATATTTTTCAAATTGCTCAACTCAATCATAATAATGTGTACAAACATTTAATTGCATATCATGACTTCTGGTATTGATTACATATATACATGTACCACCCAGGGTCTTACCATCTAGTCATCAGGCACAGACAGAAAGAGTAAAAAAACATGAACATTCACACTTCCACAACTTAAGTATACCACTCTTTCATGTCCCTAGTCGGCCCACTAAAGTATACCACTCTATCATGTCCCGTCAGCCCACTAAAGTATACCACTCTATCATGTCCCTCGTCAGCCCACTAAAGTATACCACTCTATTCATGTCCCTAGTCAGCCCACTAAAGTATACCATTCTATCATGTCCCTAGTCAGCCCACTAAAGTATACCACTCTATTCATGTCCCTCGTCAGCGTTTTTGAATTTTTTTGTCATTTTATTCCACAGTTAGCCTTACATTAATGAAATAGATTTTATTTTGTACAAGTTTGGGACCAACATGATACTTAGTGTTTTGTAGTCCGATGTCTTCCTTTCAACTGTTCTATAACAAAGAGACATTATTGTACAATGTACTAGGTTTCCACCATCTGGTTTCAATTAAATCTTGTCTAGGGCTCAATTTGGATCTGTTATCTTGGTATCATGATGAAACCATGTACCGGCATGTATCACCCAGTGGCTTTCACAAAGGGATATTAATATCAGATTCTTTTAATTAATTTATTAATGATACAGGTATATGCCTAAACAGCCAATAAAAATAAGCACATACATTTCTGGTCATTTCAATTTTGGCAAATTGGTCAGCTGCTGTACCACCTTTTGTCAAATATGAAACTTTATAATGGAAAATTTTCTCTGATGTTTTATTTTTCGCCTTTTTCACCCTTTGCAATGAGGGCAAATTTATTATAACAGCGAACAGTAATAAGTGATATGATAAACATAGTAAACAGATGTGAAGAGCGAAAAATTAACAAAAACAGATTTTTATGGAGCGGGGGGGGAGATTTGACTTTGTGAAAGTATTCAGTAAAAAACTAAAAAAAACTTTTATGTACCTGACCAAATGCCGTAACGAGATTTCATTAAAATTTTTAAAAAATCCTAATTCTTCCGAGACCAGGAAAATCACTTGTAACTAAGCATGTTATATAAATATAAAAGATATGAAAGAAAAAAAGGACTGTTTTTGCCTCACATTTATAACCTTATCAATCTCCATAATGAAAGTCAGATATATCATTAGAAAGAAAAAGTACAAATGTATGTGTTGTTTGATGTGAAGATGTGGGTTAGTACAAAGTCATTGTGATCTATTCTGCTGTAACATATAGCCCGTATTATACTACCATTGAGATTGTTTGTATGTCTTTGTCATATGAAACAGAAAACAGGATTATGGGCATTCTAATTGTACTGCGTTAAAATGTGATAATTACGTGTATATATATTTATCATATGAATACCATGTTATGCAGTGTCATAAAGCCATCACATAAATTATGTTTATGTAACGTGTGTAATATCACTCCAGAAATGACGTCACAATCAAATAGGAACAATCAATGTAACGTCGCGTTATTGTGAAGCGGACACAATTTTCATTGTTTCAGAGGGGACCAAGTGCAAAATATTTGTTTCAGATCACAATTATACAGTTTACTTTGTATTATATGATCAAAAGAATCTGTCATTTGTTTCCCTTCATATTAGATTTATGATACTGGTTTTGGATTTTTCATATTTGTTCAAAATTTGTATCATAGAATCTAATACAAAGGGAAACAAATGACAGAACCTCTATATATCCTGCAATAAGCCGAGGGGGTCAACACATTAGACCTCTAGTTTGAGAGCTAATGTGTTGACCCCCTCGGCTTATTGCAGGATATATAGATACGGAGATACGGGTGCCCTACAGTAATCACTGTCTGTCTGTCTGTCCGTCCACAAATTTTGTTCCTGGCTGATAACTTTGGTATTTATTGACCGATGTACATGAAACTTGGTCAAGATGTTCAGTTCACAAAAAATACACATTGAGGTAAAAAGTCAAGGTCAAAGGTCAAGGTTATTAGGTTCAAAGGACAAGGTCAAATTTTGTAGCTTTTAACTAATGAGCATTTTATTACATTATGAAGCAAACTTGTTCAGAATTAAACAAAGAGACTCGTTGAGGTCAAAGGTTAAGGTCATTTGATTCAAAGGTCAAGGTCAACTTTTGCATCTTTTCACTGATGAACATTTTGTTATGACATGATGAAGCAAAGGTGATCAGAATTAAACAAGGAGTCAATTCACCAAAGGTCAAGGTCACTGGGTCAAAGGTCCAGGTCAAATTTTGTAACTTTCACAAGCAAAGTTGGTCAGAATTTAAAAAGGAGTCAACTGACGTAAGGTCAAGGTCATTTTATATTATTATGTAGCAAACTTGTTCAGAACTTAACACAGAGTCAACTGTCGAGGTCCAGGTTATGGGGTCCAAAGGGACAAGGTCAAGTTTTGTATTTTTCATTGATGAACATTTTGTTATGATATTATGAAGCAACGTTGGTCGGAATTAAAGAATGAGTCAACTGACCAAAGATCAGGGGCACTGGGTTAATGGTCAAGGTCATTTGGGTCCAAAGGTCAAAGACAAAGTGGATCTCTGACTTTGACCCTGGCTCTGGATGGAGGAGGTATATAAGGTGAAATAAAACAAATCAAAGCTGACAAATGAGAATAATGCACCGGTTTTTACATTTCTGAAGTCCAAATGTCAAACGTCAAGCTCAGCTATATGGGCAGATTGCTTCTTGATGATTATGGGGGATATATTTCCACAAGACGGGGCCCTTACTGACCTGTCAGTGTTCTAGTTCAAATTAAAATGCACCATCTTAGATTTATTTTTTGGATAAATATAAAACCAATCGTTTTATGATGTTAAGGTTATAAAAGAGCGTGTTCATTCTGATTTCATCCTAAAGTATATATTGAGGTATGTACAAGCCATTGGTTATCTATCTGGAAAAAAATCAAGATGTTAATTTAAAATCATATAATTCAAATAATCGAAGGAATATGTTCCATCACTTTAGTTGTACTGTAAGAATATAGTTGGAAAAAATAAAGTTTCTCTGTACACCCTTCGTGTTCATTAAAACTACTCTTATTGTGAAATAATTTTCTATGCTCTGTCAAACTGACCGCAATTCTACCTTCATATAAGTTAATTGTTACAAAGTGTTATATGAAGACCACATTAGTTTAGCATTTTAGTTGAGAATTTTTATATTTGTTTTTTCCTGTCTAAAATGTCTTAATCTTTTCATGTAAACACTGTTCTGTTAGGGTCTATAGCTATGCTAGTTGTCTACACCAAGACGACTACAAGTATGTGGTCAGAAAACTTCAATAATGGTGGCCAGAGCTAGGTACCAAATGATATAATATAATTATTGTAGGGATTATTGTATGTATATTTATGTTATGAATATTGTCATTAGTATTTGTGTACGTAGAAATGTATTTAGTGTAATTTTAATTTCATTGACTGTCAAGTTCCTTAGCGCAGTTTCTTTTAGCTATAGGTATGGATGTTATACAGATTTACTGTTAACTGGAAAACTTTCGCCCAGTCAAACTTTCTCGCCCTCACTGGTAAAATCTGTAATCGCCTTGTGCTACTTTCACCCTTCACATTTGAACATGTTTAATATGTAGTTTACTATTGTTAGCTTTTATGATTAATTAATGAAAAAAGGCGAAATTGTCCCGGTATTATGATAAATTCACCCTCATTATGGAGGACAAGAAAGGCGAAATTGTCGCGGTATTATGATAAATTCGTCCTTGTTATGGAGGGCGAAAATGTCCCGGTATTATGATAAATTCACCCTCATTATGGAGGACAAGAAAGGCGAAATTGTCGCGGTATTATGATAAATTCGTCCTTGTTATGGAGGGCGAAAATGTCCCGGTATTATGATAAATTCACCCTCATTATGGAGGACAAGAAAGGCGAAATTGTCGCGGTATTATGATAAATTCGTCCTTGTTATGGAGGGCGAAAATGTCCCAGTATAATGATAAATTTGCCCTAATCATGGAAGGCGAAAATGTCCCGGTATTATGATAAATTTGCCCTCCATCCCGGTATTATGACTAATTAATAGCCCTCATTATGGAGGGCGAAAAGGTCCCGGTATTGTGATAAATTCGTTCTCATTATGGAGGGCGAGAAAGGCAAAAATGTCCCAGTATTATGATAAATTCGCCCTCATTATGGAGGGCAAACATTTCCCGGTATTGTGATAAATTTGCCCTCATTATGGAGGGCGAGAAAGGCGAAATTGTCCCGGTATTATGATAAATTCGCCCTCATTATAGAGGGCGAAAATGTCCCGGTATTGTGATTAAATAATCGCCCCCATTATGGAAGGGGGAAATGTCCCAGTATTATGATAAATTCGCCCTCATTATGGAGGGCAAGAAAGGCGAAAATGTCCCGGTATTTAGATAAATACGCCCTCATTAACGAGGGCGAGAAAGGCGCAATTGTCCCGGTATTATGTTAAATCGTCCTCATTATGGAGGGCAGGAAAGGCTGAAATGCCCCAGTATATCATTACAGTATCATACATACTGCAGTAGACATCAGGTACTTATTTATAGAACTGATTTAGTTAGATGTAATTTCACACTTTGATTTTACCACTTGTAATATTTCACCGTCTTTCTTAGTTTATTTTTTCATCATTTAGATTTCTCTTTTATTGTTTATTAATTATTCGTTTAACTTTTTTTTCTCACCCTTTTGTTGAATACTGATTCTGATATTAATTTAAGGTTATATGCACCTATGATTTATGTTGGAGTTTTCCCCCTTATATATTTAAATAAACATGTTATAGATCTTTTACTTGAGCAGGGCTTTAACAGGCCTTCTGGAAGTAGATATTATACATGTACCCGTATATATTTTGGCTGTTAGTAATAGTTTTGCTCAAGTCAAGGATTGTATTTTAGCAGAGAGGCCAATCATGATTGGAATATATTTCAAAAAGACACAAAGAAAATTTCCTTGCAAGTGAAACCACATTTGATTAGAAATATTAAGAAACTATTTATACATGTCAGTATATTAGATCAGTGTAATAGGCCTCATTTTGGGGCATTGATAGAAGTAGATTTAACACATGCAGTAGTTCCATTTCAGTATTACCATTATGTGTTCAAGATGAGGTTATCAGACGCTCAAGATGCTATTCCAAGTTACAGTGTTGTTATAATCGTGTGCCTTGTATGTGTCTGACGGCACCCATGGACCAAAATTGCTACATATATTTTTAATAAAGTTGATATTAAACCAGGTGTTCCTGTTTATTGTTGAAGAGAAACATGTATTCTTTGCTTGGCTGAGAATGATTTGAATTAAAAACAAAAATGTGAGTTTCATCAATCTGATATGGATGCATGGTAGTCTAGTGGTAGGACGCTGGGCTCGTGACCGAAGGGTTGCGGGTTTGAGTCACGGCAGGGCACTGTGTTGTATCTTTGAGTAAGATACTTTACTTGACTTGTTCCAGTCTACTCAGTTGTAAATGAGTACGTGGTTGGGCAGTGCTAGAATTGTCGAATGCTAGCTGTGAGCGCTGAAATAGTGGCACCGACTGTATGCTCCCCAGAGAGTCGAGAAAGATGTTGGCTGGTTGAAAAGGTCCTTTAACAATGGATAATAATTTGTGAACCACTTTGAGACGACCTACGAACTAGGTTGTAAAAAAGTAGTATATAGAAACCTCCAATTATTATTATTAGCTCACCTGCTCCAAAGGACAAAGTTGAGCTTATGCCATACGTGGTGTCCGCCGTACGTCATTAATGTTTTCAAACGACTTCTTCTTAACCACTGATTGGAATTTAACTAAATTTGACTGAAAGCATCCCTAGGTGGTGGTGACTCAAAAGTATACAAATGGTAGGGTTAACCCCCAGGGGGCTGAGGGGCGGGCCAAAAGGGGACAATTTGGCTATATTGCTATAACTGACTTCTTCTGTGGAACTGCAATGGATATCGATCATATTTGGTCAGAAGCATTCATGAGAGGCGTCATTCAAAATAGTACAAATGTTGGAACTAAGAGATTGATATCAACCATATTTGACTGGATGCATCCCTAGGTAAGTTTATTACTTGGAAATGTTGAGATCTCCACCCTATTACCATATATACAATTGCTGAGTATAAAGAGAAGAATGCACATACGCTTCCAGGATTGCCCAGGGGTCCCCACCCTTGGAGACATAGTCTATGGGTCATAACTTTGAAATGGTTGAGATCCCCATACCAAAACTGTATATACAAATGCTGGGCATAACGAGACCAATGCAGTGATGGTATAAGAATTGACCCCAGGGTCTGCCCCACCTTTCGAGAATTAACCCCTGGGTCATAACATTGAAACAGTTAAGATCCCACCACAAAACTATATACAATTGTTGGGCATAAAGAGACAATACAGTCATGATATTAGAATTGATCCTGAGGTCTGGCCACAACCCTTGGGGCCTAGTTTCTGAATCACACCTTGAAAACAGTTGAGATCCCCACCCCACAACCATACATAAAATTGCTGGACATGAACAATCTAATACAGATATGGTACAAGAATTGGCCTTGG